ATCTCAAAAAAAAAAAATAAAAATATATAATTGTAGTTGCAGTACCTAAATATTTTTTTTTTTTTTCAGATTATACCTGAATTTTTTTATATGCACTAGTACTCACAATTTCAAACCTTTAAAACCCCCCCCCCCCCCCCCCCCACCCAATGGTTTTGGCATCTTTTCATTTTGCACCACAATCACTTGGATCCCCCTCAAAACCAACCCACACTACCCTTAGAAACGAAAATTCTCTTCAAATCATTAGAAGAAACAGAAATAGTAGATATGTACCGAAAAAATGGATGAAGATAGAATAGGTTTGGTCTTGGCAAGGGCTTCGGAGTTGAGGTCCAAGATTGCCAACTGCATTCGAGAAGTAACTTCTAATGTGGAAAATCAAGGAAGGGAAACAGATAACAAGGAATCTAAAGCAAGCCCAGTTGCAGAAAATCAAGAATTAGGTGATGATGATGATGAAGAAATAGAGAGTTTGCTCAATATTAGAGATTCCCTTGAATCCCAGTTATCTTCCCTACAGGTTCCTTCTTGATTTTGGTTTTAATTCCTTTGTTCTTTGAAAGATTTTTAGGTTTTCTGCTCTTAATTAGAGGTAAAGGTTTTGAAATTACTGGTTTTTGGGTTCTATTTGATTGGTCATACTTTAGTATTTCTTGAATTTGTTTTGGAATTAAATGAGATTAGATTAAGAACCAACATGAGATTATTTTACATAAATCTTTAAGCCTTTAGTATGGCCAAAGGTTGGGAAACAATAAAAGAAGTTTTTCGAATTAAATTCAAAATTACTGGCGGAACTTTGCAATCCAAATGAAATTATGAAGGAAGAAAAAGGAGTTAAAATCTTATTTATTATACTTCTCAATCCGATCCAATTTTGTGTACTAAACATGCACTAGGGGTGTGTCACTTGAGGGAACACGACTGAGATTTTTAATTAGATGAAAAAATTATGTGCCTAGAGTCTACAAATCAGAAGATGCGAGATGGTAGATGAATTTCTCTTTTACTGGTTCACTTCCATTTAAAATCTGAATCAACTGTCAACTATTAGGGTCCGTTTGATTGTAAGGGTGTAAAATTGGTGGAAAGAAAATGAATTCCAGGAAAGTAATTGCCTAGAAATTGTTGTTTTACAGGGAATTGTTAATTAAGTGTATTTGATTGATATAATTTTTTGGGTGGAATATTTTTACATTTTGTGTCCGTTTGACTTAGTTTTACATGAAAATTGTCCATTAAATTGATTTTTTTTCTACAATTGGTTATAAAATTTGTTTGCATTGCCAAAAAGTAAAAAAAGAAAAAAAAGAAATTTTTTTCTAAAAAAATCATTTTTTTAATCAAAATTTAGTATTCGTTTGGTTTTGTTTTACATGAAAATTGTCTATTAAAGTAAAAAAAAAATTTTTATAACTAGTTATGAAATTTGTTTTCATTGGCCAAAATAAATGACAGCAACCACCTGGAAAAGCTTTTCCCACCAAAATGATGGGAAAAGCTTTTCCCTAAAAACAAGGAAATAAGGCGCGTGAGGTGGGGGGTGGAAAAGTTTTTTTTGGCCAAATTTCTCCCATCAAACATCACTTTTGCATGAAAATGGAAAAATAAGCATTAGATATAGTTCAGATACGTTTGATCAGTCATTATATCTACCCTATGTATATTCTAACGGATTACAAAGATGAAACACTCTGGCAATGGAATTTTATTCCTTGAATTTGCATTATAACAAATTTTAAAGTTGAAACAATAGTGAGAGTCTTGGATCTCTCAGATCAATAATTTAATCGCTGCTATTATTACTAGGAAGTTGTTACTTGACTTTCTGTGCCATTTGCTGCTATTTTTTAAGTCTGCAACATTATCTTGTAATTGTTAGCTTGCTCCATCTGCTAGAATCGTGAATTATGTTGGACTATGTGGAGCTTAATCACACTCTTATTGTTAGTTTGCTCCGAGGCAATTTCTTTTTTATTTTTAATGTCTTAGTAGGTGTATTTTGGGCATTCATACATTTAGGGTTCGTTTGATTGCAAAGTTAGAAAATTGGTGAAAAGAAAACGAATTTCAGGGAATTGAATTGCCTAGAAATTATTTTACTGGGAATTGTAATTAATTGTGTTTGATTGGTATAATTTTCCTTGTATCCAGAATTTTTTCTGATTGCCAAAAACAAAAAAAACCTGGAAAATTGGTGGGAAAATGGTGGAAAAGCAAGAAAATGAGAGTGTCCGAGGAAAAGTGGGAAAATCATTTGCCTAGAAAAAAACCTATCAAACAAAGGAAAAGTGGGAAAATGGAACCATGGAATTAGCTCCCTATCAAACACACCTTAAAATTAGATTTCGTGCCATCAAAATCACTGTAATTATTTGCTCTGATGCAATTCTTTTTATTCTTATTTTTGTGGTTATATATTGGGCAGTCATGTATGTATCATGTCGCCCTAATACTTGTACGATAAAGGGTATATTAGGGGGTTGCCTTTTTGTGTGCATGGCATAAATTGAGAGGCATGAGAAAAACTTTGTAATCTTCACCATTGTAGTGAAGATCTACAGTGGATGTAGCTCGCACATTGAGTGTGAACCTCTATAGTTCTTGCTGTGCTTTGTTTGTTTTCTGATTGCATCTTCATCAAGGGTGGGGATTAGGCTTAATCCTAACAGTAGATCCATGATACGAAAACAAAAATAAGAATAAGGAAGAATGGCAGTGCTTGATTCCATTATTCTTTATGCTTGAGTGCTGTGCTCTGTCAACTATATGATCTTCTTCATTGAAATGATGATGTGTAAGCACCCGGAGAATAATATGTCCCAATCCATGCAAACTGATATTTGTTTTTGTGTCAGGCTAAAGTACTCATTTCATTTCTTATTTTCTTCTTTAGGCATTACAGCAGCAGCAGTGGTATGAGAAAGAAACGGCCATGGCCGAAATGGAGGACTGCCAGGAAAAGCTGCTCAAGAAGCTGAAGGAATACAATGGCAAGGACTTGGAAGTTATTCATGAGGCTATTGATTTTGCTGGCGAAACAGAGGACAATAACTATCTTCTCCTTCCTCCATATCCAAGTCGACCATACAATGGGCATGTTTCAATATTTCCTTCCACACGAAAGTATGCTCAAAATGGGGCAAAAAGTGGTGGCCTAAACAATTCCCTTGAGACGACAAAAAATCTTAAATCAGAAAGAAACCAGATGCATCCTGGGCTGAAAGGCCCATTCAATGGGATGAAGTCATTTCTTGGTGCAGCAGCCAGGACAGCTCTTACTATTGTTGGGGTGATCTCAGTTTTGAGTTTGGCTGGTTTTGAGCCAAGGCTAAAGAAGCGGGATAATCAATTTAAGATTTTAGGCGCAGTTCTGCTGCAAGGGACCAATGAAAAAGGAACTTCTGATAATTGTCCACCAGGGAAAGTCCCAGGGATTGAAAATGGTGAAATACGGTGTATTGTGAAAGAGAGATTTGAAATTCCGTTTGATGCAGTTGTTTCTTCGCCTGATGTGAACTACGGGTGTGGGTGAAATTGTTTTTCCCTCTTATCCAAAGGGGGGGAAATTTCTGGAGTCGTTCTTTCCGTTCTTTTGTACATCTGCCATCTGTTTTGACACTAACTGGAATAAGAGTCTGCAGTCTTGATAATGTTGTACTAATTGTGTTTCATAATTGTTGTTCAAATTGTGGATAAAAAAATGGATTCTTTGATCAGATCTTCAGGTTATAGAATTATCTACAGAACTTGCAAGGTTGAGTGTTCTCTGTGTTTGGTTTCCTTCATCCACAAGCTAGTTAAATAGATGTACAATCAATATATATCCAGGACGACAATCATCAATCTATTATAAATATTCACAAGTACGAGAGCAAGTTCTCATGCACGAAGTTATCAATTCATAAGTACGACAGAGCTATCAATGTTTACTCACAAATACAACAGTAAGATTTCACGCAGCACCACTGGTATGAGCACCAGTCTAGATGATAACATCATAACATAAAATGATGGATTCACTTATGTAATATCACATGATTCATTTAATTGAACATGTCAAGTCTAATCACCTTGACTTGTGCGATAGCATCAATAATACTAAAATATCATTATTTTTTTAAAACATCACCTAGTTTTGGAGTCTTCACTTGGCAGGTTTTGTTATTTTCTGAAGTTGTCAAAAAAAAAATTACATAGTAGAATAATACTTGTTGCCATATACTTCACCAAAGTGGTCAAAATCTGACATTAGATTATTAACCATATAGTTAAGAAATCTCCCGTAGGATTGGACAAAACTTTCGAATCGAATCGAACTGAATCTGAACCGAGCGATTCTTTTTAAGTTAAATACTCGAACGGGTATCTGAATCGAGAACCGACAATTTTGATTCGATTCTCGATTCTAGACAAAAAAAATTAAAGAATCGAAATATAACAGAATCTCCCTAATTTTTTTAATTTTTTATTTTAACTAAGTCAAATTATTTTATTTTTTAAAATAAATTTGTTAACCAATTAATTTAGTCAAAATTCAAAATATGATTTTACTATTTCTATCTAAATAAATTGGCTAACTAATAAATTTAGTCCAAACTCAAAAGATGATTTTACTATTTCTAATTTCCAGCCAAACCCAACTTAATCAAATTGACATAAGTTTGACTCAAATCTCTTATTCTACCATAGTGTCGTTTCTGTCGTTCTATAATTGTGAACTCGTCATCTTTCTGTTCCTGTGATTTTAACAGTCAAATCTATGAAAAACTCAATAAAGAGAGGTGCAAAAGATATCACGAGATTGAACTACGTTATTTTATAAGAGTTAAGATTGAACATGTCATACTCGAATTAATGTAGCGTTATTGTAATATAAAAAAAAATTAATTATTGTACGAAATTCGAGAGCCGAATGAAATCGAATCCGAACGGTTTCATAATGAAATTTTGACTCGACAGTTCCATAATGAAATTTGGAGTCGACAGTTCCATTTACTAAATACCCGAAAATTCGGGTTAAGTTCAGTTGTCTTTAGGACCGAATCGAACAGAACAGGACCATGCTCAGCCATAATCTCTCCCCAGTTTCAGCCTCCCTTAACAGTGCACCTTATTGGGACATTGCCTATTTTTTTTCACAGTCCCTTTAGTTTGACGGAGTTTCTGTTAACTTGCATTGAAGAAGAATTTTTCTAACCTTACGTGGTACAATTTTTAAGCAATTCACAGTTGCATTGAGGATGTTCTAACGACTATAGTGATTCGACCAATGGCATGATTATCTAAAAACATTTGATCAATCAAAATCACACGACTAATTAAGACAAATTAAATATTGTTCAACTAAAACCAACTTTATTTACAACAAACACCATCGAGTTGGACAATTAACATCCACGGTTACGCTTCATCAGCCAAATTAGTTTCATTTCATCATTAGTATGGACTCATCAAATTGATTTTAATGACTAACATGATAAATATTATAAAACTGAGTGACTAAATAAGATATGAAAGTTTAAAGACCATTGTAAACTTCAATGAGGACGAGTCACGACCTTAAAGAAAAGATGTACTTTTAAAAATGGATTGGTCAAACCCCTAATTTTCCCTTTGAATTTTTAACAATAGCATATTTTCACAATGGTCTTTTGAATAATAAAAGATAAAGTTCTCCTTAAATAAACAATACAATTATAAAATATTGTTTTATTTAAAAAATAATATTATCATTTTAGTTAACAAGTAAAAATGAAACACTTCCCACTTAAAATTTCAAAATCAGCTAACTTTTCTTATCTATTTATTCTAACACAGATAAAAACTCTCTCATTTTTCATCCAGTAAAACATCAAAATCTCATAAATTAATCAAACGCAGAACAAGAATTTTTTTTTTTTTTTTACGTCTATCATTTCGAATCGATAAGTATATTTATATATTTTTAATTTTGTTTTTGTTAAATTAATATACGTTTTTAATCGACAAATCTTATTTAGACATAGATTAGCATGCAGATAATTTTTTTAACAGATCTATAATTTTTTAAGTATAAACAAGAAAAAATTCATTGCATATATATCATGGTCGTAACAGTCAGCTGTTAAGCTGCTTTTTTATTTTTAAATCCTATTGTCCAGTGGTTGAGTCGATTTTTCGACTATTTTTTTAAAATTAAAAATTCCGTTTCGTCATACAGATATGGTTGTAAATCCAATTTGTTACTATGATGATTTCGAATTTGATGAAAAAGATCGATGAATATGGAAATGGACGAGTGATATACGTGGTGATATTCCAATTTTCATAACATTGAGCACATCATATGCAAAAATGTACCATAATTTACAAAGCAAGCTGAAAATCGGTCTCTCTCAGTATGATATGAAACTGAAATTTTAATTCAACGGGCATTCATCCATTCTGATTCCACTTATGAAGGTTACTTCTACTGTCGAAGTTAATTATCGATTTGAATTTAACAAAATGCGACTCCTCTTTACGTAACTTTAGTAAGAAAGAATGTCGTGAAGATGAATACAAAGATTCAAATAGAGGGAATCACAAAGTAAATGATTTTTGGGACACGGTAAAAATAGCTTGTGTGGATGATGTGGTTATTCGGGAACAATTGTTCCTTATCGTAATCTCGCTATTACACACAAAATTCCGTCAGTAGTTCACAACAATGAGAATGATAATAAATTTACAGATGATGATTTGATTGCTTTATTTCGTGAGAGACGTGAGTGGGGCTGGAGCGCAAGGGCTGGATCAAGTGAACCATCATCTAATTCTTCACGTATGGTTCCTGATGATAAGGATTTGAATGTCGAGCAACTGTTTGAAACAAAGAAAAATTTGCAAGAAGTTGTGCACCGAATTACACTGAAATACAACTTTGAGTTCAAAGTGAAGAAATCAAACAAGTCATTATTGATTATTGTCTGAGTAGACGACATTTGTCGTTGGCATTTACGAGCGACGAAGATGGACAAGAATGAGTTACTTGTAGTTCGCAAGTATACATGGGAACATACTTACGAAATGAAAATTCGTTGAAATGATCACAAGTAAGCTCAAGTATGGTTTATTGGTCGACAGATAATGCACAAGTATCAGGACTCATGAACGATTTACAGAACTTTAGATATCATTAATGACGTTCGTAGAGAGTATGGAGTGGTCATGAGCTATTGAATGCCTGGAAGACCAAAAAATGAGGGTTGAAGGACTTATTGGGCTCGATCGAGGAGAGCTATGCTAAATTGGTCAGATATTACCATAACATGGGTACAACTAATCTTGGTTCTGCATTTTTTATTAAGATGGATGACGAGAATTGTTTTAAATTTTTCTTTATAGCTTGGACAATGCATTATAGGATTTCGAAATACAATGCGACCCTAATTTTAGTCGATGGTACAACTCTGAAAGCTAGATACGAAGGCAAGTTAATTATTGTTACATATCAAGATGCCAACATCCAAATTTACCCTCTTACATTTGGTATAGTCAATAGCAAGAATGATCGCGATACGTTGGTTATTTACAAAGTTGAGGGAAGTAATTGGGAAAATCGAGGATCTTGCCTTTGTAACTGAACTGAGACATTTATAATAAATGGTATCGCTGAAATGTTTTTCAAGGCACATCATAAGTATTGCATGCGCCATACACAAGGCAATCTGAAAACTAAGTATCATGGCATAGACATTGTTTTATTGTTCAAGAAAGCGGCCTAAATTTATAGTGTTGAAGAGTGCAATAAATTCATTGTGGAAATATAAGGTAAATCGTTCATAGCATGAGAGTATCTAACAAAAATGGGAATTGAACATTGGGAACGATCACATTTTCCAGAATGTCAATACAATTTGATGACGTTAAATAATGCGGAGTCTCTCAATGCATTATTTAAGAAGGATCGAGAGTTATCAATTCTCGCAATGATTGAGAACATTCGTAAAAAGCTGCAGCAGTAGTTTCACGATCGACGTGCGGAATTACAGAGTTACACGAGCGTGCTGCCCCGACTCAGGAGGAGAAACTCTTCAAGATTGCAGAAGTTACGAGAAAAATGAATGTGGAACCACTGGACAAGTTGAGCTTCTCCGTGAAATGTCACGTAATATGACATACATGGTGGACTTGAACTGATAACACCTGCACTTGTAGTCGATTTCAATTTAAGAGTTTTTCATGTGAGTGTGCAATCTGGTGGCTATGTGTAGAGGCTTTGCAACAAGAACCTTACTCTCTCCTTATTACACGACTAATTATTTCAGACCAGCATTGCTGAGATTATATTTCCTCTACCGAATGAAGTTGAGTGGAAAGTTTCCGACCATATTCTCCCACTTAATAGTTTGTTGCCACCTGAAATTGAATCGTATGGTCCTGAATGTCCACATACGTCTAGAATACCATCTAACGGAGAATTTCTTCGACTGCATAGGTAAAGAGCAACATGGCATACTTGTCAATTTTGTACAAGTCAAATTCCCCTAAATGACAATTAGATGGATATAT